TATTTTTAAAATGAAAAATTTTAAAATCAAGAACTAAAAAGAATTTATTTTTTTAATTTTAAAATTTAATTAGTTAATAATAGGTGATAGTCCAGAAGGGGAGACACAGGCAGGCTCATGATACATTTCAGCCTTATATGTAAAAGGACACCGCAGAAGGGAAGTATGTGGTGGCTGAGATGAGAAGTAACAGACTAATGATTATGGCAAGGATGATGTTAGGTTGGGTTGGTTCTTGCCTTTTGTGATTCTTTTATATGCTTAAATGCTTTAGTTAATTACAAACTAAATTGGGCAGAAACAGGCACATCTTCTTAATGTGGGGACTGCTTTCTTTTCCTTTGAAGATTGAATGTGCTGCTTATAATCCTGAACCATACCTCTCTGGAGAAACGGAGTCAGATTCCTGTGCCGTGGAACATGGTTTTCTTTGGGTAAGTGTAATCTTTAAACACTAAAAAGGGGCAGTCTTCTGTTCCTCTGAGTTGGTTTTTGTGGCTCTCCACAATATATGGATCTGAAATAAATTTTGGACTGGGTTTTTTTTTCCCCATTTTGTTTGCTTGAAGATGGACTTCTATAAAGGATATCTAGTAGTTTTGTCCGTGTGACCTCCCTGTTCTCTGTAGGGTGTCACTTATGTGTGTGAGGCTTATTAGTGTGGCACAGAGCGAATCCCAAAGTGCTGAGCACGTTCAGAAATGAGTTATGTGCTAATTTATAATGAGGGCTGCTAAAACCTATATGAGCTCACACTGTCCTATTGTCTGTTTTCATGTTTTAAAAATGCTTTAGCCATAAATAATCTGTTTAAGCCTGTACACAGGAAAAACAAACCTATTCTGGCGTATTGTTACAGCCTCCAATATGCAGATATTCCAGCAAAGTGAAATAGCCAACACTTTAAAAAAAACCAAACAAACAAACCCTAATGATTTCAGTAGCTTTTCTTGTTACTACAATACTAAAATTTTAAGGGAACTCTTGTGAAATAAAAGTAGAATTTAGAAATAGTTTTTGTCAGTGGTCTTTTTCATGTTGATTCATTTTGCTTTATTTGTAAACAGTCATCACAACTATATGCCAATAAAATCTTTCTGCTACCACAAAATGTTCTTTCTTTCTTTTTGCTATGTGTTCTCATTTCATATAAACATAAAGAGTTCTTATATAAAAACACTGTTGCTTGGACAGAGGGTTTTTTTATTGGTTGGTTTTGTGATTTGTTGTTTTTTGTTGGTTTTTTTTTTTTACTTTCTCCAGATCTCTAAAATGTACAGATATGTGGACATATTATGATACTTAGTTCTGGATCAGGAAGAAATTTAGGACTCTGTTTCAGCAACTTTACGAAAGGGTTTATGTTAATCCCTTTTTCTGTTGGGACAGAGCGTTTATTTGTAGACCTGCTACTGTGCAAAGGACAGGCCTCAGCTATATTATTTAAGAGTCTGAGATAACTTAGAACACTGGTTATTAAAATAATATATTACAGTTACTTATTATAATTGCATTACATTATGTATATGCATGAGTCAGACATAGACTAGGCCATAATACTGCTTCTTTCAGAGAAGAACTGGTTTTGTGACTATACAGGGGAATTTTGTGTATATCATGTTTTGGTGTTTTGACGTCTCTTGTGTTTGCGCTGAGTTATTGATTTTTTTTTTTTTATGTCTTAATGCAGGAAAAATCATATTCACACATGTAACTTGAGATGCATTCCTCAATTAACATTCCAGTCATTCCTTCTTGTTAATGCTTATCTTCCTGAAGACAAGTATCAGTCTTAGTCATGATTTGTATTTTTATTTTTATGTTCTTTATTTTTCTTTCCTCTATCCAATTCAGATTGGCAGTTGTACTAATCAAATGGGCCAGATTGCAATAGTCTCATTTCAAAGCTCCAGCCCCAAGGTTATTGAGTGCTTCAATGTGGAATCACGGATTCTCTGCATGGTCTACATACCAGAGGAGGAGAAACTGAAAGAGCAAAATAAGGCTCTAGACCCAGAAAATGTTCTTGCAAAAACTTCTAATGTGCCTACTATTTGCCTTGGCATGGAAGAAGGAAGGTAATTCTTACTTTTAGTGTATGGTGTATGATTTATTCATTAGGTTCAGTATTTTATAGCAAAACTGTGTGAGATACTTCCAAGAAAATGTTTTCTTTTTAAAAAAGTATCTGTGTGATACCCAGTGACCTCAATTTATCCTTTCCATCTAAATCAAGGATTTTTTTCCCCCACCAATATTTTATTCTAAACCTCTTTTATGCATATTCGGATAAGAATTAAATAAAACATCATTTTACAAGTTTATTTTTTCTTGCTTCTTTTTAATAGTATTTCTATTTACAAAAGTTGCCAAGGCTCAAAGAAAATTCGACTCCAGCACTTCTTCACTCCTGAGAAATCAACTGTTATGAGCTTAACATGTACGTCTCAATACTTGTTTGCTGGCTTGGTGAATGGAAACATTTCAATCTACACAAAAGCAGAAGGTAACGTAGTGATACCATTTGATAGCATCCTGAGGAACTCACATGTCTTGTGTATTTTGGCAGAAGTAGTTTCCCACTATTACGTTTTCTGAAAATTCTCTGTAAAACTGCTGTACTAAGGTTACTACACATTTTAGTACTTCTGAAAAGACTTGTTTTCTCTTTTTGAAGGACAGTAGAAAGTTTGATACTCTTCCCACTTTTACCATATGATGCATATGAAAACTGATTTGCACTCCTTAAAGCCTAAGGTCTTCAGTGTTACAAGAGTCCAGAAGTTATGATAAGAGACAGTATGTACTGTATTTTACACAGCACAATGCTAATTCCACTGGACTACCCAGTATCAGTGTTTATGAAAGACAAAAATTACATGTGAGTGGAGATTCCTGTATATCTCATTTGAATTGACAATTCCATTTTTACTGTTCTGATAGAAGCCTTTCCTATGTATGTGGCTCATGCATTTCACAGTAGGAGTCCTTTTTCCATTAACAACACAGTTGGTACTGTTGTTATTTAGTATTATTTTGTATCTGGCTAAGTAATTGGCTAAAATTATTTGAGTAAAGGAGAATCCATGTAATACTTCTGTACCAGAACTGTATTTTCCAGAGCTTGTTTGTACGCTTGTCTGTGTACTTCCAGTGTATCTCACTAACTTTCCTGCAGTACCAAATACATGTATAGTTAGTTCAAAATCAGCAAGGCTTTAATCAAAGTTTGAAACCTGAGTGTTTAAATGAGATGTTATCAGAGAGACACCTAACCTTTTAAAGTACAGAGCCAGCAGAGATCTGGTGTATCTTATTAGCATGAGCTGCATAACAATGGTTGTCATACTTCTGTAATGAAGTGGGCCCTGTAAACAGCACAGTTTTATATGAGTGGCACAATACCAGTTCCTTTTAATTAATTTTTTTTTTTAACACTGTATAGTAACTGTTTCTTTGTTTTGGAGACACAGGAGTGAGGCCTTGATCCTACTCTTATAACATCATTTTTGATGTTTCAGTTTCTGTATGTACCTGGGTAGGATAGTAAAGTGAATCTGTCCTCCTGTCTGACGGGGGCTGGTGTATTTAAGCTGTTTGAAGACTGCAATTGCTGTCATTCAACTTCTTGAGAAAAGACCACTCTAAAACCACAAGTGGCATCCTTGGCAGTATAGGTAAGAAAGGATGCATGGGTTGCATATCTACAGAGGATGTTAAGAATGGGGCAGAGCTGTTAACCAGACTGAATTACATTATGAGCTGGTGTTTTGTGCAGCTAAATATTCATCAAGTGCGATAGGCTCTATTTCAGGATTGCTGAAGCTCTGAGATGGGAAACAGACATTCATGTTTTTCTGACTCGTCTTGTAGTCCCTTTGCTTACAGTTTGGTCTGCCTGTGTTATTTCAGTTCCACATGCCTCATGACAGTTGTGTAAATCAGCTGTTCCTATGTTAGCATTGATATTCCTTAGAGGTGGCTGTGGTGTTCATGTGAGACAGTGAGCCCTGGAGGGGTGTTTTTATGATCACTGACCTATTTTACTAAACAAAGGAGTCCCAAGCGGTCAAACGGGAAGAAGGGGGAATGCAGCCTCCAGAGAGTTTTGTGCAATTCATCAGGGTCACCTTCTGTTCTACAGAGGGGTTACTTTCCAGCCATGCCCGTCAACTTGGTTTTTGGACTATCAGGATAAAGGAAATTAAGGAAAGACTTGGAAGTGAATGTGAAATATGGTCACTGTATTACAAGGATTCTTTATTTGGAGCCTGAGAAGGATAAATGCTATGGGATGCACAGGTGGAATGGCTGTGCAGCCTCTGTGGGACTCCATGAATGAAAAGGGGTAATCTTTCTTCTAGGATGAAAATCCACCTTGCGGTCTCTAATAGAGTTGTGATCCTTGTGTCTCCCTCTCTGGGCAGAAAGTGTAGTTGATCAATGATGCCTTTATGTATGTAGTCGAAGACCCATGGCTTCTGTCATTTGGTTTCAGTACCCAAATAGCTCCAATTCCTCCTGTTTTCTGATAGCTCAATGCATTTAAATATCCAGCTTGTTTGCAAACAGCAAGTGCTTTCTTCTGACTGTCTTCACAAGAGAACTTCGTCAGATCAACAGCTACTAGAGTGCTGACTGCAGAAAGTCTTGACTTGAAGTGATTTAAAATGGAAACTGGGAAGAGTGTCTAGTAAACTGAGGAATACGTGCTGTGTTAGAGGGAGAGTTGAAGGTGCACAGTGATATTTCCTCCTTTATGGAGGGTAGTTATACTGAGACACCTCTTTATCTCTGTGTTTTGACTTACGAGTTAAAAAGTACTTAAGCCTGAATATATTTGAATATAAATTAAAGGAAAAAGTGCAAATTTCACAGAAAGACTAGGATGTAGGTCAGCTAATATATTAATCCTAAAAATAGGAGCCCTGATAATTATCCTTAATAGTTCTTAATTTTATGTGGGCAAGAAGACTAGTTTGAGGAATGGTGAAACAGCTAATGCATTAAATGTTATATATAGGAATGGTGGTGATGCTGGTTGTAAAGTTTCTGACACCTTGTGCGTTGGGAACTTGTTACATTGCTATTAACTCTTGCACAATTAACCAGTCTGAAATACTGTGTATTAATATTTGCCTCAGGCTGAATTATTAGGAATATTTCCAGGCAAAACACTTCTAGAAGATGTTAAGGAAAAAGTAATTGTACTCGTTTTGTTTGAAAAACATAACAAAACCCCTTTGTGATGATAGCAGACAGCTCAGCAGATGTGTTTTCTGAGTGATGTAATAGCAGAAAAGGTCAGTGCATGTTTGACTTCCATTCACAAAAGTATCTTAGGAAAGGGAAATCACAATCTTTATATAATATAGATGTAATGTTCCTGTAGTTAGTCCCAGCTACTTCCTTTCTTCTATATGCTGATATACATTTCCTTTCCATAAAGTCCTGTAGAGAGTGTATAGAGGAACAGGAAAAAGAAAATAAAAACTCAGCATGATTGTGACAAGAATAAAGATGTCAATAGTTTCAGAAAGAGTTTGGTTAAGACCAGAGAACAGATGCACAAAAAAGGCATGTTGCTTTGATTGCAATAGCTATCTTTCAGCACTTTTGGTATGAGTAGCCTTTCACTCGTGCGTAGAGCACCTGCAGCGAGTCCTTGCACATTCACCCCTAGAATTAAATTCACAGTGCTTGGCATGCTCAGTGATCTTTCCCCTTAGCTCAGCACTGGTGAGGCTACACTTGGGTTGTTGAGTCCAGTTTCTGGGCTCCTCAGTGTAAGAGACATGGTTATACTGGAGAGAGTCCAGCACAGGGCCATTCCAGTGATAAAGGGACTGGAGCACTCTCCAGTGATGACAGGCTAAGAAAGCTGGGGCTGTTCAGCCTGGAGAAGAGAAAGATCATAGGAATCTCGTTAGTGTCCGTAAATATCTGAAAGGAGAGTGGAAAGAGGATGGACCTAGGGTGTCTTCAGTGGTGTCTAGTGACAGGACCAGAAACAGTGAGCACAACCTGAAACACAGGGGGGTCCTTCTGAACATCAGGAAATACTTTTTCACTGCGCAGGTGACCAAACCAGGAGCAGGTTGCCTAGAGAGATTGTGGAGTCTCCATCAGAGGATTAATAAAAAGGAAAAGGACCAAAACTGAAAGGAAATTAAGTCGTAAGGGGAAAACAGTTACAACAGTGAAGGGGTAGTAGCTCAGTTCATTAGCAAGATACCTCGATCCATTTGGCAAGACAACTGTGTACTTTGGCTGATGTGGAAAAGGAGGAATATGTGGAATGTAAAGCACTGATGTCAAACTTCAGAGCTTGGGTGGATCCATGCACGGTTCCAGCGTATCTGAGGAGTGTGGTTGTGGCATGCGATTCACCGCTTAAAGTAGACATGGTGAGGGCTGTTGCTGTGAAAAGTAAGGAATGGCATTAAGCTCCTAGAGAGAGGACTACTGCGGTGATACTGAAACAGAAATAAATACTCTTGTCTTGACTGTGTAATCACTGTTAACAGTAACACCTAATACTTGTTACCCGAAGTATGTTGACATTGCTGTTGGTTTTGTTTATGTAGCTCATGCTGGAACTTCCAGCACCACCCTCTTTACAATTTTAAGTAGAGCTCTGTCAGCTGTTTAGCATGAAGACTTTTTCGAATATGTAGGATAAAATTACTATATGCATGTATAGCACAGGAATTCCTAGTTACACCTTGTTTACAAGAGCAGACCTGAGTGTCTCTTTTCCAAGCGATTAGAAATGTGCTAAACTTTTTACTTCTGTAACTACCATCTTACTCCTCAACAGTGCTGGTTCATGTGCCATGTGATGGAAAAAACGTTTGTGCTCCACTGCACAAATTAACCAACAACCACTGTTCCCAGGGCTGTGTTGGCAGCTCTGTTGAAAACATCAATAGCACTGCTAAGCAAGAGAGGGAACTACCAACAAAAAAAGCATGTTTGGTTCAGCTCAATTGAAAGCATAAAAGAAAATTACTACAAACTTTAAGAAGATTTTGACAGATAAACTATATTTTATTAGGTTATCAGACTTCAGAACACCATCAAATATTTAAAATACTGAATATTAATAAAACATTCTAAACAATGATAAACTTTTAAATATTTTTTTGTAAAATAATATTCTTTTCCTTCATTGAGTTTTATGGAAGCAAACCGCAGAAAGATAAATATCCAACATTCTGTCCTATGAAATGAGCAAATGAACATTGTTTTAAAACTTTTCCTCTCTGATTAAATTTGAGTGACTAGAAGGATAATTGATTTTTCTAAAATTCATAAAAATCACAAGACTAATAACAAAATGCATTCATGGAAATAATGTCCTTATTCTTTAAAGTCTTAGAAATATTTTATAAACATAAGATACCTTACTTTGTCTGATACAAGCATTGCAAGATACTGTTCAACACTGGGGTATAAACTATGACATATAGCTGTTGGAGAGCTAGAACTTGCAAAGAGTGCCACAAATGGCGGCATGACACAGATCTGATTGTGCATTGGCATAATAGCGCTTAAAAACTGTGTTCTTATGTTTTAAATATTTATCTAATAACCAAATATCAGAAGCTATGACATCTTATTTCTAGAAGCCCCTAGAACTGTTTTCGTATTTGACCCTGTTCTCAGGTTTTGTAGATACATCTCATTCCTGCAAATAGCTGTACCCACAATTCATATAGATGCCTATATTCTGTTACATTCATGTTATAGAAACTGCCAGAGATTGTCATGTCCTGTGTACTAGGCATTTGTTGTATCTTTAGTAAGAGCCTGTACCTTCTTTGATGTGGACAGGTTAAGATCTCAGTCAACTAAAACTTGCAAACAACGTTTATGTGTTATTACTTGTATGAACTTTTCTAACAAAACAGAAGAAAACCCCTATCTCTTCTCCTGCTGTTTCCTTTGTGTTTCCACCAGTGTCAGGCTTCAATCTTCTATTTGTTCAGGCTGCAGATTACTGATTTTTTTTTTTTTTTTCCCCTGCATATAGACTAGCCTCTGGTTATAGGATATGTGTGCTGCATATTGCATCTCATTCAGTATCTATATGCTTAGAAAACTTTATCGTCTATGGCTTTTAAGCATTCTAGAAACAATGATGACCATAAAATCTATGCTTATTTAGAGAACACAAGGCATCAGTTGCACAGAATTTTAAGACAAGCCACACTTCTGTGGGCTCTCCTGTAGGTATTCTCCAGCCAGGTCTCCAGGAGCCACATTATATACATCTCCATTGCTTATTTTTCTTTTACTCAATTCCTTCTTTTCAGAAAATACTTTGCTTGGCTCCTTGCACTGGCTTTGTCCTATTGCATGCCTTGAGATTTTGTTAGCAAAAGTTTTATCTTAGCTACTATTCTTGCTTCTTTTCTTTTTTCTTCAATCAGTAACTAACTGAGGATTTATAACATCAAACGAAACTGTTCCGTATCTTTTGCAAGTGCTGCACCTAATTTTAAATGCATAGATAGTGCCAGTTGTTGAACCTGCTTACATAAGTATATCTTGAATCTCCAGGTGTTTACACAAGTAGAATAGAGATAATACTTCTTTTCACTTAGATTTTTAGAAGCAATGAACTTTGTGTCAGACACATAACATGAAATGGCCAACACCAAACATGAAGTCTGTGCAGGCAGGTATTGAATAGGGTCTGCTGAGAGCTGAAAAGAGAGGTGGAAGAGTATTATGTTTTCTTAAAAGTGTGATTTTTGTAGTCTTGGATCAACTTGTGAACTAGACACAGACTTGCTAAGTAGTTTTGATAATGGGTGATAAAAGCCTTGGTCAGCAACATGAAGTTGCAGTCTTGCATTTAGTTAGCAGCTGGGGTTAAAGTGTTCACTGAAGTATGCTGGATTACCAGGCTTAATCCCCTGCCTTGCTTGAGAGGATTTGTACTTGTGCTGCCACAAAATAAGAGGAGAGAGATGCACAGTGCTTAATTTCTCCTCCTGGTGCCATTCCACTTTGTATAATTAATTAAGCATTCACTGAGGCAGGGACCAGAACACAGCTGACCTGTCGTTTAAATACTGCCCTAATTACCAGCCTAGAGAATTCCACCCTTCACCCCCCCCAGCCCTTTTCACCCCCTCATCTGTCTCAGATGCTGTCTGATCTGGAAGACAGCAACATTTGCAGGAAGAAATAAAAAATATTACAGAATAGCCTTATCTTATGGCTAGGGTGTCTGGGTATCTTCGGATTTTTCCAGAACTGATATATCAAGTGGGATTGCAGTTTCTTTGCATGAAGTCATGGTGACATGAAAGACAGATCTCTATCTCACCTTTTTCGTTACGTCCAATCCCACTGAAATCCCACTGAAAGCTAACTTGATTAAGTGGTCTGCTAACAGCACCAACAGAATATGGTTCTGTGTGAAATGAGTTTTGATATATATATTTGTTGAATCAAATATTTATAATACTGATAGCATTCATAACATTGGTAATATTGAACTCGCCTTCTGACCTTGCAGTGTTGTTTTAGGATTTGTATTTTGCAGTCAATGTCCACCTGACATCGTTACTAATTTTCCTTCTTACTCAAAACTATTGCATATGCTAGATAATACTTTTAAATAAGACTCAGTCAAAATTAACGACATGGCCTAATGCTCAGCTGTCTGAGGAACTGCAATGAAGTTGAGGGCATAAAGATCCAGGTTAAAAAAAAAATAAATTTAGATGCTTGAAATTAAATTTAAGTAAAATTTAAGTCTTGAGTCCACGGCTGGGATCCTGAAAATCGTTATTCACCTGTCACTTCAGTATCAGCTATATTTTATGTATAGATTTATGTATAGCTTGATGGTATTTAAGAGAAAGATCTGGGCGAGTTCCATTAATGTTTAGTTTTGAGGGGTTTTTTTTTTGTTCTGTACATGAATGTGGTGTTCAGTGTGAAAATACAAATTTATCTTTCAGAAAAATCTTTATCCTGCCCAAGAAACAGTAAGAATATACCATAATTATGCTGGGTTTATCCCTCAAAAGGAAACGAGGGTGCTATGTACTAGATGCAGTTACAACTTCTGCAGTCATCCTGACTTTGTTAAGTTATGCTACACACATGCACGCAGCTCTGCTCTCTGAAGGCTTTGTACTGAACTGCCTACAGTGGTTACAGCATTTATAGAGTATGGGCAGCCTCCACTTAAGAATTTGAGGATAATGTGGTTGCTAGCAAATGAAAACTTGTCAGAAGTTTCTTTATTACTAATGGTACATATGAGTCATGAAGAATACCGAGTGACTTTGAGATTGCTGGGAGAGTCTCAGGCTAGTAACTAGAAACACTCTTCTTACTTGCAAACTAAAATCATGAAAATTATTTGGATGGCCTGAAACTCAATGTCATTTTTACAAAGATGCTTTCAGAAGAGAGCCACATCCTGAGAATGACTCAGCAAAGGTTGTATCATAAAGATGGCAGAAGCAATGAGAAGTGCTCCAGAGCTGAGGCTTCTCATTATTGTTGTTGCTGCTGTGATTGTGAAGCAGAAAACTTCATACCCCTTTGCCTAAGCAGATAATAAAAGATGCACTTGTAATCAGGGGAGAAAGAAAAAACCCTTCTACTTAAGTGCTTGTCTAAAGACCTTGGTCTCGTGCATCAAAATTTAAGCAGTTACTGAGTTGAAACCAGTATTGATAGAAAACTTTCTCCAGCTTACTCAGGTAGAAAGTTTTTAAGTGAGGAAATAGGGCCTACTTTATCTCAATGTAAAAACAGATACATCAACAGATTTTGGTGATATTACTAAAGTATAGTGGATAGAAACGCAGTCTTTGAGACCTTATGCTAATGAGTGCTTACAGTAGAGATAAACTAAAAGTATTAAAATTATTATTAACATATTTAGTCTGTCAAGCTGTATGTATAAAAGACACAGCTACAACTATTCAAGAAGACCATGTTGCTAGCTCCTAAATTTTGGAGAGAAACAACCTGCTAATCCTTGTTCAAAGACGTGGCAAGTGAGAGTGACCAGTGGTAAAAGGTGGTGTGCAGGTTTTACCAAGTCTTTGAATAATTCATTGTGCCACATACACATGCCATAATTTAATTTGGATCTGCCAAATACAGTCCACAGAAAACACTGTGGGTTATAGTTACAGGGAAGGAAAAAAAAAAAAGGCAGGAAAAGTGAAGATATGGTGCAAAATTAAGTTTCAATTTCTGGTTGGGTTTTTTTAGTTTTGTTTGGGTTTTTTTTTTTTTCCTTTTATTTTTTTTTTTTTTTTTTTTTTTTTTTTTTTTTTTTTACTCCATCTTAAATGAAGAATCTAGTAGCAGGAAGTCCATTCCATCCATGTGCTTTTAGAATCCTCTGAGCTCATTAAAATCGCCAGTAAAAGTCTTGCTGGCTACTTTTCACATGAAAGATGATTCTGTCCTAGTTAGAAGTTGATCCAACTTGAAACAGGTCAGTTGTGAGCTCCTGAGTGGGGGAAAATCATATCAGCCATGGCTTTCTAACTGTATTTTCCCTGGAAAGGAAAGCAGTGGTATCAGAACAGTAATGTGGATTTCTTGTTTATTAATTAATCCAGATAAAATTGGTTCAGTAACAAATGCATGAGTGTTTGGCTTTGTTTTTACTCCTTAATGTTGTATTACCCATACCTAGTTACCATGGAAGCTAAAATTAAACGTACATAAAGAACAGTGTTGCTTGAAGTTACAGCTTGCAGAGATTGGAACAGTAGGTAGGCTTGAGAGACAGTGTTTTCAAAACTGTTTTAAAACAAAGATTACCATTTTGTTGTGAATAACCTTTCTTCTTTTTTATTGAAGATGGCACTTGGAACACGGAACCTCAGAAGATAGTTAAACTGGGGGTTCTGCCTGTTAGAAGTCTGCTTGTGATGGAGGAGACCATTTGGGCTGCATGTGGTGGGCAAATATTTATAATCAGCACTGTGACACATTCCATAGAGGTAAACACTTTTAAACTCATTGTTCATATACTGTGCTACTGAGTATAAGTGGTAAATTTTAAATTTTAAAATCTATGTAAGAAGCTTTATGATTCACAAAGCTTTTAATGAAAAATAGTTTCAGTTCTGTTAAATCTCACTCCCCGCAGTTTGAAATTCTGCCATAGTGTTCTCTGCTGATGGCTCATTAGATCTAGGTTTGCTTCTATTTTCCCCTAGGTTTCCAAAAGGTGCTTGGAACTCGTGGAGTATTTGGGGCAAGAGGTTCACTTAAAAATGAGATCTGAGGAAAGGCAGGAAAGAAGTGGGTGGCTGTAGGAATTCCTGTTAATTCCAGAAGGTTTAATTAAGAGATTGCATTTATGTAGTTAGATGTTGCTTGTACCTTGTGATGATTTCACAGTACATTTCTTCAGGGTTTTGCTTCTCAGTAGCCTACAAAAATTTGCTTTGTGTAAGGATGTTTCCCCATGAATAATCATGAAAAAATCAGCTTTTCTGGAAGGACAGAAGTGTTAAGGATACAAGCTCATAGTTGTGGCCACATTTTGCAGCAAATGTTAAGCCCTCATTTCTGTTAAAACTGAAATGAGCCTCTACCAAAAGAATGTCTTAGTGGTCTAAAGTTTAGAGTTAATGAAATGTTAGGAATTAAGCCTCTCTTCAACCTACAGTACAGTTACACTGAGTTGCTTGGTGTTTACAGCCATGAAGTTCTTTCAAACAGGAGTTGTGATGAGCTCACAGCCTCCTTCTTTGTGTGCTTTGTTGCTGCTTTTTTGTTTCATTGATGATCGTGTTTTCTCCCAACAATTGTCTATTTGGTACAATTGATTCTGTGAGTCATTGTCATGGGTTTGCAGGGAAATAGCTAACATCCTGATTTCTCTGTCTTTATCTGTGCTTTCTGAGTGGTTTGTTTCATCAAGTAGATGCTCAAAACATGTATATTCCTACTTTGTTTTTCTTTAAGGCTTGTTTTGTTGATAATTTGAATGGCATGATGGTAAGACTTTGGGAAGAGTGAAGTGGATAGGTGCTTGAAACAGACTTACTAGCTTTGTTGGGGGGGCTGGATAGCTGCTGGGACACCTGGTTACTGTCCTACTGACTTGGATGATGAATTTCTGATTCTTACAAAGAAATACATAGTAACAGTAGGAGATTGCAGCCAGATTGTTCCTGTATGAGGTGGTCACATACAGCCAGATCTATGTAAATAAGTTTGGCAATTCTGGCCTAATTCTATCACAAAGCTCTTCCTAGATCAGGTGGGAAGGCTGCAGTTTGGGCTGGGCTGTTTTGGCACAGGTTTGGTTTTTGTTTTTTAAGACTGGCTGAGGGTCATCTTTTTTTATTCCATAACAGATTTGGAATCCCATGTATTAGGTTTGGATGTTACTCACTTTTCCTGCTTTTTATCTCCTCTGATCTGGTTAAGGCTCTCAATTCACTTGTTTTAATGATATGTTACTGTACGAGAATGTTTTAGGAAATGTCTTTTATTGGCACAGTGCCCCAAACTGGCACAATGCCTCAATCTCCTTGGCAAGGCACATGAGAGAAACACATGAATTGCTGTTATATCTTCACTCTTTCTGTGAAGAACAAATTAGTCCTTAGTCTTGACCCTAGATCTGACAGTTGTATTGCTGTTTGGTACTGAGCTTGATCCGGTAGTGGTCTCTATTCCTGTAGACCCTTATGTTCTGCAAAGGCAGTATGAGTTTGTTTAAAAACAACAGAAAATGCCAGAGTATTAAACAGAATAAAGCCACCAATTGAATGGCATTCCATCCTCGTTTGTTTTGTCTTGTTTTTAAAACTTGGCTAACTATACATGAGCTACTCTGAAATGTTCAGTTGAATAAACAAAACAAATGAAACCCCCTATAACATAAGTGTACATTGCCTGAGCACTGTAACTTTCTTTTAAAGTAGTAGAAGTCATTTGGTTTACCTTGTGGACAGTGGTACCATTATACATCTCTCATGAAGCTTGAGAAATCGTGATTTAGTTCTTGGCGCAGCTGTTTGGTGCAATCAAGCACCCCCTCAAAAGAAAAACTCCAGCTATTCCCAGCACTGCTGAAACAATAGTGAGCTGTGTGGGGCTGTGCTGCTGGGCAGGCGGGCTGCGGAATCCAGAACATCTTCTGCATCTCCCCTGTTGCTATAGAGTTTGAATGAGACAGCCTGAGGGGGAAAAAGCTGGGCTCTGACTAGAGAGGAATGTAGGTATGAAAACTAGAGAGAAAGGAAAAATTAAGTTGTGGGGTTTTTTTGTTTTGTTTTTGTTTTTTTGTTTTTTTTTTTTAATAAAGGGAATAAGACATTTTTGTTCCTTTGTATCTGTGTTTCTTGTTATGAGAAGAAAACGAATGAAGAAAAAGGCCAGATACTGGTTTTCAGACTGACATGTAATTGAAACATGTTAAAGTTATCCTTCATACAAAAACTTGTGCTTTTGTAAAAACGCATACAGGTTTGGCATATGTTCCTGCTCCATTTTGGAAGACCCTTTGAATGAGAAGAATAGTTCTTTTTCCATGCTTCTTGTGGTGTTGACAGTTTTACTTTAAATGTGTCTACGTGTTTCAGCAGACAGCTGTACAATGGCAGGACAGACTAAGTGGGAGTATAATGAGTTGGCTGATAAATTGGAATGTGACAAAAATGCATGTACAAGTTGTTTACAGTGGCACCAACAGAATTGTCAGCTGTGGTCAGAGCACTCCAGAAGGTATTCATTTCTTAGGATCTGCTTCGTTTTTCTTCTAGTTTCACACAGTGCAAGTTGCTGGTCAGGTTCACTCAGTGGCCTTGGATCTGTCCCTGAGAAGTTTTCAAAAGTCAGTTGGTCATCATTGTAGGGATGTACAAGTCTGTAAACAGATGTTATTCTTTTAAAAGCTTTTTTGCAATGCTAAAGGATTTTCATCCTTTTGCAAGAGTATCAGGAAATTTAGTCAGAAGAGCTGTTACTGGCTTTGAAAGATGTTGTTCATGGCTGAGTTCTGTTGAATAAATTGTATGATTTTTAAATTATGTATATCATGTGGTAAAGAATGAGGAAAACAGTGAATATAAATGTGCCCACCAGATGTGCTTACCTTGCATTCTTCCGTGGTGTTATTCAGAGAGTCAAAAAGTAATATAGTAACACTCAAAATTTGAACCATTGCCTAATAGCTGAAGAGAAACTTTTCTGTTCATTTACTAAAACCTGAACATATGCAGAGTACTGTTAACAGATGAAAAGAAAAAAAAAATCCCCGTATTTTTAAACAGCCACTTTCTCAGTGGAAAGTACTAATTTATGGAGTAATAAAGCATGAAAAGAATATTAAGTGCCTACTAAGTATAACGTCAAAAGTTACACTTCGTGGAAGCTTATCTCTGATCTTAGCCTGGTTGTTGAATTTAGATGGAGAATTTGAATGGTGTATCTATAGCCCTAATACACTCAAAACATAGCTGTCTTAGGCTAAGAGCTTATCCTGAGCAACATGTAATACAGATTTTGATGCAGAATGACCAAATGTAAATCTGAATTGCAATGTATAGAAAATTTAGGTGTACTTTATGTAGTGTGAATATTAGAGCAGATATTTAGTTTCATAACGCTTAGAGATTTCTGTCCAAGGAACAGTGTCATTTATTTAGCCAAGGAACTTCTATGTGTATCATCATAGCTCTCTGTATTTGATAATAGCTGGCACAACATTAAAAGGCTATGTTTAACTTCAGAGGCAGTTTACTTTCAAGACAAAACTGGGGAAAAAAATCCCTACTTCTTGTTAATAATTAAGGAACTTTACTACAGCTCTATCTTGCACGTTAACAGGGACATGTAGAAAGGTTTTGGCCTTTGTGGAGCCATACGGAAGGCAGTAGATCAAGGAAAACATCTATCCTCAAAGTCTTGTGTTACCTTCAGAAGGAGGATATTGTTGCTTCTAATGAGAAGCATCAATATTTTGAAGGACAGAAAAAAACCCTCAAACTAATACTTAGAAACTCAGAAGTGTCTGAGCCAAAACACAAGCCATGGTATTAAGGCTCATATTGTTATGTACATAGGTGAGCAAATAACTGTGTTTATATTGATAAACGATCTACTTTCTGAAAATGATTTTTGCTTGATTCTATTATCCTTGTTCTGAAAAGACCACCTAACAGAACAGAAGAAATTTTTTTACTATTTAAGAGGAGCTCTGCTGTAGATAAACGTAACATATTAGGAAAAAATCTGCCCACTCATCTGTACCTCATCTGTGGAAGTTTTCCCAAAGGATTATCAATAAAGAAATAAAAACGCCTTTTAAGTCTGAGCTGTTGCAGGCTTGCCAGCCCCTACCATATAATAATTTGAATAATTACAGTATCTAAGTTATTGTGAAGTCACTCTGTCTTTACATTGAGCATCCTTCCATTCTAATGATGACGTATCTTCAAAAAAGGGTAACATGAAAATTAAAACATCATATGCAGCAGTCAAAATGTATCCTGAGCAGAGGACGCATGTCCTTGGTATGGAGGACAGAGATACAATGCATGCAGTAAAGAGCTGATAAAGAAGGTTGAACGATACTGTTCAGCTCCTTCTCCCCCCAGAGTCATTGTTTTTCTTACAGAGCCATTTTGAAGCTCATCAAGAGGAAGGGATGGTTATCTCTCACATGGCTGTTGCTGGAGTGGGAATCTGGATTGCCTTCACATCTGGATCTACGCTTCGCCTGTTCCACACTGAGACACTGAAACACCTCCAGGATGTTAACATTGCCACGCCTGTTCACAATATGTTACCAGGTAGCTGAATCACATCATGTGATAACATTTTTGTTTTGTCTTTATCACTGTCCTCCAGTGTTGTAGATTAGGCCAGAATCAGAAGGTCCATCTAGGACTTTGAGTCTGATAACTGTCTCATGACTATTTGCTTTAGTAAATCACAGCCTGTTGCCTGACCAGAAGAGCAGTGTGTGCAGTGATCTGGTTGATTAGCAGCTCTTCTCCTCAGATGTTGTAAATGGTGGCAGTGCTAGCAGAAGGGACAAACAGAAGAGTGATGCTGGCATGGCTGAGCATGAGGACTCCATGAGATGACAGTGGTTCTCTCTCTTTCTCCCTGCTTACAGACTGCAGAGGACTGAGCTGCTGCAGTTCTTATGGGCAGTGTGTTCAGCAGCTTTATGACTTTGTTTCTAACAGAAGCCAGTACTTCACACACTGAGATTATATTCTTACAACAGTTAGGTATAACTCTTGCATCAAAAGTGCTTCACATCCTCAGCCTTTAACTTCTTTTCATGTTTTCTTTCAGAGGGCATTAGCTTTGCAATAAGCTCTATTTTAAATTGTGTCCATTCATATCATGTTCTAGACAGGGTGTTTTTTACATGTGCTGTTTGACTGTAGCTCCAAAGCTGAACAGCAGCAAAGGGCCCTCCTTCAAATAGGTAATTTGGTTAAATTCATCAGTTACGCAAAGAAATCAAAATCAGTTGTAAAAAGATTAACTTCAAGTATGTTCTGCTGTTTATAGCGGGGGGGGGGGGGGGGGTGTAAAAAGGGGGTGTTGATAGCGGGGGGGGGGGGAGAGACTGAAATAGGGCCTCCCTTAAACATTTTCGGCATATAAAAACGTAAAAAAAATTAGCTTTAATGTTCATCGCCATGGTGATAAAATTGCTGATGTAACATACCATCTTCTTTAAAAAAAAAGTTTTAGCTAACTATATCTCCTTGGTGTCACTCTTACCCGTTTTAGTTCCTTTTTTTTATTTCCTCAGTGTCTTTACAAACTTCCATGAATGGAAATGGAAATTTATTTCAGGAGTAGAACATTATTGCAACAAACGTTCCAAGGGAGAATCCATTCTAAAAATTAAATTAATTTGAATTATTTCAAAGCAGCTCTTGGGGCTGTTTGTATGATCCCAACAGTGCTGCAACAACAAAAGCTAAAAGTCAGAGAGAGGAGTAGATTTACATAATAAAGCAGCAGTAAGGACCTTTTGTAACTAAAAGCGGCCAAAGAATAAATCAAGGTCTCTCTATAGTGTATCCTGAGAATAAAAAAAAAAAAAGAAATCAAAAAACCCCAAAGTGAAACAGAAAAGGAATTAGATAGGCATGTATTTATAAGGTACGTATTTGTCTTTACTGAGGACTTACAGGACTTTTGGTTTTAAAGGAAACAGCTCTGATAGTTTTCTGAAATCCAACAGGAATTCTTTAATATGAAAAAATAAGACAAAAACTCAACTGGTATCAAAATGAAAGAGAAGAAATAGGTGTCAAAATATTGCTAAGATTCTGAAAAGGGTCAGATTTGGATACAACTCCAAAAAAGCTGGATTTATTTGGCTAAGATTTTAGTAGTGACAACAATATGTCATCTTGGCTTGATAGGCTACCTGGAGATGTCATTTGTGTCTTCACTTAAAACAATGTAAATAAGAGGAGCGTCACTCGATGAAGTTAATGAAATTATTTTGTAGTTATACAGTAGAAATAAAAGAAAAAAAATACTGTTGCTATCAGGAATGGTTACTGTGAATTGCAACGCTGTATTTAAAGGATAACTGTACTAGCTAATTAAGATAGAGGAGTAGGAGGTTCTAATAACCTTAGTAACGAGTTCTTGGAGCATTAGATTTTCCCAGTTTTGTTCTTAGGAGAAGACTGCTTTAAATACCACTGTCTGCTATCCGTGTTGTAGAGGAGAGAAAGGAATTTTCCTCTCCTCTTTTGAGGAAGACAATCCTGCAGCAGTGCACAGGACAGAATCACAGGGGAATGAAGTGTAAGGGAAATGGCATAGAGTGTGATTGTCCTTAAAATTTGGCAAGGTTTAGTAATGCAAAAAGCAGGCTGTGTCTGGCAGAATCTTTTATCTGCTGGATGTAACTTTGTAAATCTGTGGCAGTCTACTTATGAAGAATGAATCTGGAAGGGCTGTTGCTTTCTGGAGTTATGGGAAGTTTGTGTGTAGGAATGCAGGACTGGAAATTAAACCAGCATCCTGGAGGCAACTGTGGAGGTAGCCATTTAGTCCAGAGCAGTCTGCAGTACCTTTACTTCATATATCATCAGAAATACTAATAATGTATAAGAAGCTTGTGTTCTATAACAAAACAGCAAAAAAGAACAAATGCTATATGAGAAAGGAAGAGAACGTTTGAAAGAGCAGTGTCATCATTATAGGTCCAGGTAACTATTTATTTTACTATTTAGTAAACAACAGTGCAAGTGGCCCAAGCACAGCTCTGTTAGCTGAACAGAGGGCATACTGAGCAGCAGAAAAAACCCCAAATCTGTTAACTTTTGAAGTCAAATATATCCACTTCATTAATCATAGAATCATAGAATAGTTAGGGTTGGAAAGGACCTTAAGATCATCTAGTTCCAACCGCCCTGCCATGGGCAGGGACACGTTGCGCTAAACCACGTTGCCCAAGGCTCTGTCCAGCCTGGCCTTGAACACCACCAGGATTGGAGCATTCACAACTTCCTTGGGCAACCTATTCCAGTGCCTCACCACCCTCACTGTAAAGAACTTCTTCCTTAGATCTAACCTGAACTTCCCCTGTTTAAGTTTGAAGCCATTACCCCTTGTCCTACCACTACAGTCCCTAATGAAGAGTCCCTCCCCAGCATCCTTATAAGCCCCCTTCATTTGCAAAGCAAGTTTATGCTTAGTATTTGTGATCTTTCGTGGTCTGTAGTTGAAATCTCTCCAAAGGCAGCTTTTTGCAGCCTTTATCACAGCTTGCATCAAAACCAAAATCATGCTGTATGTGAATAGACTGCCCACTTGTTTTTTTTCATAGTCACATTCAATATTTCTTACTCAAGAACATCCTTGAACACATTTTTCCTTTCAGCTTTAAAAGAGTTTGTCTTTTTTTTTAAAGGTTACTGTGACCTTGATACATGTCATTTCGTTGGTCGTGTGGATAATGACAGGTTACTTGTTCAACAAAGAGGTCATTTCCGCTGAAGCTGCTGTATTCTGTTTATATCCATATATCCCCTAATGGCATGTGTGTTTCCTGGAAACAGATGAGAAAGACAAAGAAAATAAAGAAGTATCATTTCCTCTCTGCAGAAAACAAACTCTACTTTGAGGCTTACAGCTTGCTTTTGTCCCCACCCCACCAGGTGCCAGACCATAAAATGCAGTGGTTTTATGATTTTACTGCTGGGAAACAATAAAAATATTGGGGGAAACTTTAGGTCAGCCCAATCTATCTGTACAGTAGGCTTATTTTTTTTTTTATAGTAAGAGCAGCATGGTCATATAAGAGGGTATGCACCAGTATGCTTTTGCACCTACTTAGGGTTGCCTTCAGAAGATCTATATGGGAACACATGAGGATTACCCAGTCTAGTGGTGGTTGTAATTGAGACCTGAGAAAGGTGAGCACAGAGCTGAATATAGGCAATAAAGCCATTTGTCCATGTATAAGCATAATTGCTGGCTTCATTCTTCATAAAGTTCTTCTGGTCAGATTATTTACAGGGTTTAACAGCTCTGTCTGCATTGGGACAGTGTGATCTAAAAGGCGTCCTTTAAAGATTAGAGTATTAGATTAGTTTTGGCATCTATGTTTATCATTTTCCCTTTCTGTTAATTTCTGTGCTTACTGAATAATGCATTCAAGAGAATTGGGTTTACTTGTTTTTTCCTTCTTGAATTTGAAATATATCAAAAAGTCACAAAAAACCCAAACAAAAGAATATGATTTCAAACCTTGGCTAGCAGATAAATAAGTATTTTAAATTAGTATTATTTCAGGGGTTTTTTAATATAAATATTTTATTTATTTATTTTAGTTGTTACATGCTATTTCAAAGTATATTTTCAGATGCAGATGTTTCCTGCTTTTCCAGGATTTCAAAGCAGGCGGTTTTCCTTTTGACCTCACCATAGATAGTTCATGCTTGTGGTTATACTCAGTGCTTAAGATTCTAAGTTGCTGGCTGATAATTTGCTGGTTTCACCTATGGAAACAGTCATGCATATTACTAGTTTTCCCTGGTAAAAATTACAGGTTAGAAGTTGCTGTAGGGTTAGAGTATGAAATCATGCATATTATTTTACATTTCAAATGCCTAAAAAGGCATTAAAGATCTATTGTTTTAAAATGTGAGCATCTTTCTTCTGTGTTGGGTTTGAGAGGAAACAGTACAATTGGAGCTTTTGATAAAAGCTTAAAAATTGTACTTTAGTATCTGTTTGTAGTTTGCAAAACAAGCTTTAAGTGAAATGGAGGGAGATTAAGGTAACCTGCAGTTACTTTGCACTTGCTGTGGCACTGGTTGTGGTAGAGGACTTGCATGTTTACATGTTTTGAGCAAGCCTGAGCTCTAAATTGTGGAATTCAAATACCAATTTTTGAAAACTCCAGTACACAGAAGTATTTGAGCATGACAGTTTGAACTTCTTTTGTGCTGAAGGAGTGCCTTTGTGTGCTTTGTTTTGGAAACTAGATTAATCCTATTAATATCTTAAAAAAAAAAAAAAAAACCTCAAAAAATCCAAACTCCTCTTTCCCCAAAAAAACCCACCCAAAAACCAAACAAAAAACCGCAAACACCCCCACAACTAAAAAACCCCACACCACACCAAAAAACCACCACCAAAACCAAACCAACCAACCAAAAGACCCCATCAAAAAGCAAACTCCAAGCTTCAAAAAGTGTGTAATTTACTATAGACAAAGACCATCCATGACTGTTTAGCTGAGGAGGGATGATGCAGTCCTACCAGCGTAAACACATACAGTTTATGGAAAACAGCATAGGTGTCTGAAAGCCTGCGTGAGCAGATGGAGCCTCTTCAGCTTACTTGTACTTGTTACACCTGATGAGGGTGACTTAATCATCATGCCTTTAGGGTATTTTAGGATGTGGGTCTGGGTAGACAAAGCTGGGATTCCAAGTCTGGCCCTACATGTGCATTTTACAACACACCATAGCTGGGTCAATTGTGAAGTCCTGTGAGGAAAGACTTGACCTGGTCTGCCTTCTGCTTTCCAGTTGAGTGCTTTGGGCTTCAGTCAAGCCACTCCTTCCCTGCTTTCCCACTGGGTCTGTGATTCATATATTCCTGGATGTGAATTGGCTTAGCTTCAAGGGATGAGATGGAAAATGCATTTACTTGTGATACACCATAATTAAGGTCCTTTTCCAAAGTGTGGAACATGTGGGTTCATCCAAGTTATATCAGATGTGGAATCCAAATTCCCTACTTACTGATGAAGTGATTAACAACTTGAAAGCTGTGATGAAGATCAGAATGACTGCTCTCTTGCATGTAAAGTTAATCATAAACCCAAGAACACGTAGGGTTTGAAGCTGGAGAATTCCAGCAGAGTTTAAATGCTCTTCCACATAAACTTAGACCATGGCAAAGGTTTGGGCAAGCCGTAGTTTCCATTTCTGAAACTCGTCAAGGCCATTTTGAAAATCTGTCTACACTGAATCAAACATATTTAGTAAACATTGCAAGCAAAAACTTTGTTTTCATTAGGAAAATAGCAATCCTATAAATAACATATTGTAGAAAATTGTAGAATCAATAGAACAATTTTGATTGGAAATTACTCTGGGGTTCATCTCATCCATCCTTCTTGAAGCAGGCCTTATTAGATCTGGTTGTTCAAGGACTTGTCCAACCAAAGTTTTAATATCTTTGGATAGGATGGAAATTCCACAACCTCTGAGCAACTTGTTGCAGTGTTTGACCACCCTTATGATGAAGCTTTTCCCTATTTACAATCCAAATTTCCCACATTCCAAATTTGATCTGTCTTATCTGATCACTGTGCACATCTGAATGGAATCTGACTCTGTCTTCTGTGCACCCTCCCGTCACATAGGTGCGACAACATTTTTTTTTAACCTCTCTTTGTACACTATGTGCTCCATTCTCCTCACCTTGGTTGCCTTCCACTGGGCTTCTTCCAATATGCCAATGCCATTCTTGTATGGGGGACCCAAACTCAAACAGGGGACACAGCACTTCTGGTACAGTTTCACAGAATAAAAACTAGGAGAAAAAGTAATTGTGAGCAGGTTTGAGTCTTGAGTATAGTGCGTTATGGCAACATATTGTTGAGTACTGTGAAGTGAAATGCCTTTCAGTTTTATTACCGAGAATATAAAAACACAGTCTATTCATAAAAGCATATTTGTAAAGATAATCTATGTCTACTTTTAGATACTGTGGTTTAGACATTTAGGACAGAATGTTTCAGAAGTTTAATAGTATTTAAATTGTGATGTATGTAAAGTTTTAATACCACAATCCAGCAAAGTATTTGCCTTTTTGATGAGTGCTTTGCTGAATGAGAAGATAGAGCTGATTGTGTGTGTGTCTGAAGTGACTTTGATCTAGGCAAAGATGATTGCTCTAAAGTAACAAAACATTCTCTGAACTCTGCAGGGCAGCAACGTGTTTCTGTGACCAGCCTCCTGGTGTGCCATGGCTTACTGATGGTTGGAACAAACCTGGGTATAATAGTAGCGTTACCAGTGCCACGCTTACAGGGGATTCCCAAAGTAACCGGTGAGTGAAATTTTCAGACAGATTAAGTCCAGTGGGTTTATACTGAAGATTTTTCTCTTCTGTCAGTAGTTTAAGCGAACCTGCCAAATTGTCTGCATTGTTTAGATATATATCTGAGCTTTGTGATGAAATTATATCTGTTGTTCTTCCTGAGCTTTACAGTATATCCATAGACTTGTCTAGTTTTGTCTCAGTTGTTTGAGCCGGGACAACTGTTTTTCTTTAGGGCATAAGAATAGGATAGGCATTAATCCTGCTGGAGTACAGTCAAATGTATGGGGATGAGAAGAGAATGCAAGCAATCTTTCTTCCAAAATTGGGGGAAATAGATGCATTGGGTTTAGAGACATAGATGCTGAAAACATAGTATGTTGTCTGACTCTTTATTCAGTAAATTGATTTGGTGCCTTTTCTCCCCAAACAGGAGATCTGGAATATATGAGAATATATCTTTCATTTTTATGACAATTATCAAGACTTTCATGTTTTGGAAAGTTGAGTTACTTACCTATTACCCCCTTGGAAATACAAATGCATGAATACTGCTGTATGACTTTGCAAATGTTTAAGATACTAGGAGAAGCAAGATCTTAGAAGTATGTTTAGTAGGGGCTTTGCCCCGGTGTTTTGGATGTTTTGGGTTCACAGTTCTGCTCGAGATTCTGCACTGTTGGAGGGAAGCTGGCAGATTGAGGCAAGCTGTTTGCAAGTTCCTTGGGAAGGGAGGGAGCTTATGTAACTTTGCAAAATGAGAACTAAATCCTCTGTGTTCAGCAAAATACGCAGCAATAATCCAGTATAACACAGGATAAACGTGGAACCTATGTTAGGTGAAAATAAATGCAATACAAGAAAGTACATAGTTGTGGAATCACAAAATCTCTCATTTTAGTCTTCCATTTTCTGTTTTCATTATTGTGGTTTAGATCATTTGTATGTTCTTGCATTTATTTTGGATCAAGATTTGTCAGATTTGTCAGATCCAGCAATGTTACATTTAGAGATCTATTTTTGCAGTCTTTGATACTGTATTTGGAATTTGAAATGAAAAATTGTGACTTTTTCCAGTTCTGCTTCCAATAGTGATAATTCATCTTTATATCATTGCACTTTCTATAAAAGCAGGATATGTTTTATTACATCCTGGAACGTGTTAGGGAGTTAGGGATGGACAGAGTGATTTGTAGGGTTGTGGTTTTTTTCCCTTTGATAGCCTAGCTCTTTTCCATATTGTAGCTTTTTGTAGAATCCCACTTTTTTTTTTCCCCTTCTTTTTTTGCTGTAAAAGCCACACATACTGATATTTACTGTAGCTTCTGAATTTGGCCATACACAATTTGTAAATCTTCTTTGTACCACAAACATCCCACTGTTTAAATACTTTTTTTTTTTTTTTTTTTTTTTTTTTTTGGTAAATGGGGGAAAATAATTTTTTGGTCATTTCCTTATGAATCTGCCATGGTAACAAGACAACCATTCAGAGGATGGGTTCTAATTCCTGCTATATAGTGTGGAGGGGTTTCTTACAGTGAAACAGGTGTTCCTCCTCTATTCTGGAGAGGAACAGAGGTACAAGAGGATTAATTGAAAAACACGGATTACCGGAGAAAACTCAGTGTTACATTTGTGAGAGCAGAGCACAAAGGTAAGTCAAATTTATAACGCCATCTTTCAGGTGATTTATTAGTACAGTCCTAAATCACTTGTGGTACATTAGATTACTTTTTTGTGCTTTTCTTTTTCCTGTAAATTGTGTACACATAAGGCAAAAGACAGACTAGATGATAAAATAGGGTTTTAAGAGTTATGCTATTCTAAGCGAATTTCATTAATCATGGTGAAACACTGTGCTAAAAAAATGTTCTTTAATTGTCTTTTTCTTTTGGCTTCAGGAAGAGGAATAGTGTCATATCATGCACACAACGGCCCAGTCAAGTTTCTTGTAACAGCTGCATCTATAAACAAGAAGAACAGAAATAAATTGCGGAACAGCCTGCCTCCTGGCTCAAAACCTAAAGACGACGACCAAAAGAACGTTTTGCACAATGAAAGACCAGGCTCTTCCCTTAGTAACACCCATGACACTGCAATTTGGCTGGGGGGTTCAGTAGGATCCATTGCACAAAAAAGTGACTTGTCATCATCTTCTGGATCCCTTACTTTGTCTCACGGATCAAGTTCCCTAGAACATAGGCCAGAAGACAGTAACATTTACGAGCTTTTGAAAGATCAAAATATCTCATTTAAAAGTAAAAGACAGAGATCCAAAAAAATGAAATCAAGTTCAGTATTAGTCATTTCTGGTGGCCAAGGACACAGAAGAGTGAACAAGAAGACCAAGCAGCAGCGACAAGATGAACTAGTGTCTTCAGTAATGGTCTGGCAAATACCACTATTAAATATCTAACTGAACCAAATCCAAGACACCTTCTGCTATTAAAAAATTCTGATGTCCTTTCACAGCAGATGCCAGCGTAGGACCCAAATGGATAGACTTCGTGCACCTGGGAGCAATTTCAATAGGCTGTGATCACAGGATTAAGAGTTGCAAGACAGTCTTCACATATTTATAATGTTCTGTAGTATTGGGGTATCAGAAAATGTTCAGGCATTGATGCTGTCCTTGATACTTAAAACAAAAAAGGATCTGTTAGACACTTTTAAATGGTTTTAGAATCTCTACCTTATTTATATTCACATTTATAAATATCATAATTATGTTCTATAGCACTTAGGGAAGGCAAGGAACACATGCCATGTCTCATGCTGGTTTTTGCTGATGTAAATCAGCTGTTGTTTCTTTTTCCAATTTGGCATATTGCATGGACTGTAGATTTTAACGAATTAGCAAATATTTTAAAACAATGAATACTCTAATGCAAGCTAATATTAATTTGGTAATTACTATAATAGTTTGTAACATTGTATGACAAGCCAGAGTTTGGTCTGGACAAAAGCAGTTATTAATTGATTGGTATTTGTTTATTTCAACATTGAAAATAGATTTTAATCATTAATAATATTTCTAATGCTCAGTATTATTAAAAATGTTGCAGTACAAAATGCATTCATCTTGGTAGGTGCAATGTGTCTGTGACTTGCCTTCATTACACAGAGAAAGTTCAAAGGATGCTATGGCTTAGGGAAAACAGAAAATACAGGTACAGAACAGCTGTGCATCATAGTGCCCTGGCAACTCAGTACCAAAGCTAGACATGGACTATACCATTTTTAAGGTGGATGCACATCCAGTAAATTAATAATGAAATTGTTAACTGGGGAGAAAGATACTAATATTGGAATATCTATAGGAAGTACAGGGTAATTACTGTAGGTGTAGACCCTACATCAATTGATTTGTGCTGTGTCCTCAGGCAAACGCCAGTCAAATAATGTCACAGCACAACAGCAGAGATATGGTCATATCTGAGTGGTGGTCATCTCTTTCCAGCCAGAGTTTCAGCAAAACATGGTCATGTAAATGGATATTGTGAAAACAGCATGCAGAGTTTCACTCACTCAGTTGGGCAAGCAGTTGCTTTGGTAGTGTTAAGAAGGCTCAGTTCTAAAGAGAGACCTAATTGTCATTTCTTAATGAATCGGTGTGTTTCCAAAAGAAACTCTGAATTTGGGATTCCTACTGCCATTGCTTTTTGCGCTAGTGACTGCACATGTGAAATACAAGACAAAGCCTTCAGCCTTCAGCTCACAAAAATGTTGTGATGAGACACATCCTGCAGTCAAAATGTTTAATAGAGAAAATATATTGAATTGAGTCACTGGGAACATCCTTTTCCCTCATCAATAGACTGAAAAATGCAGAGAAATTAGGATGATTAAGTTTCCGTTGAATATGTTAAGAACTCAAATACTGTCCATCAGTTCAGTAAAACGCAAATTAAATTTATCTTAAGCAGAACATTTGTCAGAACTATGAAGCGAGTAGAATCAAGTAACACTTCTGGCTGCTTTGGTACCATAATTATTCCATATCCCATTAAGGAAAGTTATTTGGTACCATTGAAATAATTTCTGCTAACACAAACTCCTTGGTTCCACCATGGTTTTTTTCAATCTGCTTAGTTTAAATCAGCATCAACCATAATTAGAGTGTTTCCCAGCACGTGACAGTTCAAGGTAAACAGTACTACAGACTGAATTATTTTGTTTGATCTGACATAAAGTTTTGGTTGGGTTGGGGTTTGGGTTTTGTTTGGTGGGTTGTTTGGTTGGGGTTGTTTTTTTTTCAAAATAATGTTTTTTTAAATGTTGCTGAAATTTATTTTATTTTGTAGCAGATTTGTATACCTCTTAAATTTTCAGTCTGTTTGCTCTAAAAAGTAAGCCTCTACCAAGGTGATCCCAAAATTGGTGGGTGGGCTGATTTTACGAAGTTTGATGGGAGTAAGGTCAGGTCTTCCTGTCACCTGCCAACTAGTACATGGGACAGAGGGAATGCCAGCTCAGTCAGTCTTTGCCTTCTAGGTGGTACCAAAATGGGCATTTCAAATATCAGATCAGCACCCTAGTTTCTTCTCAGAGGTTTTGCCCACAGTCTACATTCTTATGAGAACAGGTTTCTTGAGCCATAATAGCACAAATTTCAACGAGTCATGAAGGACACTTGTTACAGATGGGATTGTAGGCTTAGGGTCTTCATTACTGTTACGTGTTTTTATTCTGTGTCTTTTGCTCTGCATCTTGCAACTTCAGTTGGGTATTGTCAGCATTAGCATGGGCTTAGGTTTGGCATGAGTCCTGGTGCAACAAAAAAAATGTAAATAGGGCAGAGTGCCTCTAAGCCAGGCAGCTGGCAACATTTCCCCAAACTTTTCCTCTTCTCCCTGGCTTACTGCCTGGGCTTGCCCGGCCTGAGGGATCAAGGCCAGTTGCATTTTCTACACTCTTCCATAGCTGTGGCCCTGGGAGCTGCTCTTTGCCCACTGTGTGGAAGTACTACATTGTACAGTTTAATGTATGTATACTGAAAAACAAGTTAAAAGATTCTTCTGTGTATAAAGCATATATACTCTAGTATCCCTTTGCTACACTGTAGTAAAAAGACTACAGGGGTTTTTCTGCATGCTTCTTGGACATGGGATTCCACATCTGTGCCTTCAGGACTACTCTCTTGTGGATCTTTATCGTTAGGAGCAGTAAGCAGAGTCTACCATGCATTCAACCGGAAATCCATGCATGGTGTTATTACAGGATCTGCTAGGAGTAACACGAGAGTCTTAAAGTGAAATTCGTCCTATCGTCTGGCTGAAATGTAGTTTTCGTCAGTTTTATCAGTAACACAATAGAAACAAAATACAAATCTGCTCTTCCCAAAGTACATCAGAGTGTTGCCGGTGTGACTTCAGTAAGAGCAGAACTGGGTCCGTCATTTACATTATACCATTTTGAAAATACACATCTATTTATCTTACTAACCTGCAAAGCAAAAAAAGAAGCTGTGTATCTTTATAAATATACATTGACATGAACTAGATTTTTAGTTAACTAACTGAGCACAAGGTGCAATGTTTGTTTTCTGATATGCAGCTAACTGGTGTTACCTTATTATGGAAACAGGCAAGAACCAAAGTTTCTCTTACATCTGGCAAATAGTCTTTACAGCTGTTGTAGACTGTGCTGCCAGATAGGTTGGATTTTGCTTTCCGATACTGCTTTCCTAGATAAATAGAAGTTATGGAAAATACTAGGAGAAGAGGGGAGCAAGTGTAACCACTATGATATCTATATATGTTTTCTAACACATAGTAGTGTCTTTTATAACATGAGCCATAAAACTTGTGTATTTATGTTCAAAGTATAAACTGAGAGAAATGTTTAATAAAAAATGTGATAAAAATTAATTTCGGAAGTACATTTCTTGGATCATTGTTTTAACTAGGAGGTTAGAATTTGTGGCATGCATTAATGAATAATATACATATTAATGGACTCATGAAAGGGAAAATAGGGTATGTGATAGAACAACAAGGATGTATCTTTTTAGGTTTTTAGTTTCTAAAATTTAAACACCAGCAAATGGAATTTCTCAAAATGATGCAGTCTGTTAGAATAAGTTTGACCTGTGTATCAGTGGACCCAAATAACATTTAAGCAGGAGAATTTCTGCTATGCCATCTACATGGAGTATGCATCAGCACTTGGGCAGCAATCATGGTGCATAAAAATGAGAGGAATTAATATTCCAAATGAGTGTAGCAGACCAAAGTGTTAACAGAGGAAATGAATTTTCAGTTGCTAACTGGCAATTCTTTCTAATTAATCTGCCCTAAAGGATACATACAGAACCCCATGATTGTGTTTAAATACTGAGACTTGTATGCATCAGAGTTGCCAATAGCCTTTTTGTGTGTACCTGCACTATTATAAATAAACAAGAATTACTGAGAGCTGCTTGGTTGCTAGTGAAGCCTGCCTTTTTGCTCCCATTCTTATACCACACATCTTCAATATATCTGAAAAACATCAGATCACATGAGTGCAGAATACTGTATGTTCATGCATCTGAAGGCAGATTCTGTCCCACAGGGAATTTACGGCTCATTATTTATGGGTTTGAGGCTGAGAGATAAACATTGCCCCTTGGAGAGAAGACTTGAGTATTGAAAAGGGCTTCCCGAACTGTCCTTCTGTGCTTAAACTTCAGTGTTCTTCCCCCTTCTATCCTATTTAATTTCCTGAGCACATAAAGACAGTTTTTTGTAAAATGCATTTGGTGAGAAAAATCTGTGGTTTGAAAGGTGGAGCTATAATGGAGGGTTCTGTAAGAGTTCATCTGTATTGCAATGAGTGATACCATGGAGTTGATACAGTATTTTTAGATTGCTTTACATATATTCATAGTAATAATACTTCACATAATAGTCCTGTTAGGCAGATTAATATCATCTGTAGCTAGGAAGAAGCTGAGTTGAAGAGTGTTTGCCTGACTTGAAGCTGCATGATGACTCCGTAAAAGCACACAGATTAAAGCCACTGCAGCTCTTTAAGCCCATGATTAGCCCCTTAGACTGCCTTCTCCTTGCAGGCATCATGTACACATAGTCATTGAAACTGTGCTGGTGAACCGGCCAGGAGTAGGGCAGCAACTTGGGCACTGATCTGTGATCACAGTCAGTAGTTGGCTCTCTGGACCTAAGCCTGGCCTGGGCTGCTCCCATTAGACAGCACTGACAAGGCCGCTTATCTGGGATATTTTGGGTACTGATTAACTACATGGATTTAAAATGTATGGTCTCCCTTGCACAATAGGCTCTCTGCCTCTGGCATCTTGATGCTGATGTGGCCTGACATGTATCCATACAACTTACTTCATATGGGAAGGTTGCCAGCACTCTAGAACTTGAGGCCAGTCTCTTACAATCAGGAGACAGAAACATGTACTAGCAT